TGAGCTGAGATCCGGCCACTGCACTCCAGCCTGGGCGACAGAGTGAGACTCCGTCTCAAAAAAAAATAAATAAATAAATAAATAACATAAGTACTCTGTCTTTTCACTCATTCTTTGGTTTTTCTGTACTGATTAATTAAATGTTAAAGATAAAATAATGAAACTGTACAGACATGCCCTTTACCCTTACTATGTTGCAGAGTCAGAGAAATTGATAATAAATAAACAATGAGGGATAAGGACAAGCTAATAACATGAAGAACTGAAGAACAGAGTTCAAAGAGCAAGGCAAAGGAAAGGGCTTGACTGATGTGAATGTCACAGTGGAGGCCAGTGAGGCTACAGCCTTGTGAGGGAGCGGAACGGAGTCTAAACATGCAGAGGCTTTTATAAAAGGCTGTATTACGAAGATTGTGTAGCAGGGTGTGTAGCCATATGAAAAAATGCCTACGATAACTTCATGAAAAAGAATGTTAAGTTGTGTGCATCCATATATATATGTAAAACTTAAAGGAAAAAAATGGAAAATAATCCAAAACTGTAAAATGATATACCAATGGAAAGGATTACTATTATTTTATTTATTTATTTATTTATTTATTTATTTATTTGAGACAGAGTCCCACTCTGTCGCCCAGGCTGGAGTGCAGTGGTGCGATCTCGGCTCACTGCAAGCTCCGCCCCCCGGGTTCACGTCATTCTCCTGCCTCAGCCTCCCGAGTAGCTGGGACTACAGGCGCCCGCCACCACACCCGGCTAATTTTTTTGTATTTTTAGTAGAGACAGGGCTTCACCGTGTTAGCCAGGATGGTCTCAATCTCCTGACCTTGTGATCTGCCCGCCTTGGCCTCCCAAAGTGCTGAGATTACAGGTGTGAGCCACTGTGCCTGGCCAGATTACTATTATTTAAAAAAAAAAAACAAAAAAACCACCACATAAACCAATTATGAACTCAGGGCTTAATATACTCTCAAACCAGTGTAATAAATAAATAAATAATAAACCAGTGTTAACCATTTATTAACCAGTATAATAAAACGTGGGCAATCAAATATTTGTGATTATAGTCCAAGGATACAAACAGCTACCTACCCCAGTAACAGTTGATCTTTTGGATCCTGAGACACATACATAAAATCCCTAGGTAAAAAAATAGAGAGGTAAGCTCTGGTAATAAAGAAATCAGAGATGATTCGTTTGAACATTTACTTTACCTCAAATATGCCTTCGGCTTATAACCCATGGCCAAAGCCTTTTCCTCTGCCATAATCAACATTGCAGATGCGCCATCAGTCTGAAATGTTAACCAGCACAATGTTAAAATTCTTCAGCCTATCTGGAGGTCTTTCTCCAGCCAGCTTATATGTTCTGTACCTGAATCTATTAACTCATTAGACTTATACAGTGATTCTGTATAATAACACTTACTTCGCTGTATCCATCATTAAATTATAATTCAAACATACACACACAGACTAATTTTTGAAGGATGAGGGTAGAGAAGGCTGTTCAAAAGTATCATAATAATCAAAATGAATCAACAGAAGAGGTAAGTTTAGAAATAAATGCTCATGGCCAGGCGTGGTGGCTCATGCCTATAATCCCAGAACTCTGGGAGGCTGAGGTGGGCAGATCATGAGGCAGGTGATCAAGACCAACCTGGCTAACACGGTAAACCGCATCTCTACTAAAAATACAAAAACTTAGCCAGGTGTGGTGGCACACACCTGTAGTCCCAGCTACTTGGGAGGCTGAGGCAGGAGAATCACTTGAACCCGGGAGGTGGAGGTTGCAGTGAGCTGTGATCACCCCACTGCACTCCAGCCTGGGTGACAGAGCGAGACTCTGTCTCAAAAAAAAAAAAAAAAAGAAAAAGAAAAAAAGAAAGAAGTGCTTATAATAAATACTTATTTAAGCCAAAGTTTTTAGTTTCTGGCACAAAATATTAACCAAAATAAACATATCTCTATTTATTTTACATTTTCTGGCTGTTCCCCAGCTGCTTTCTGCCATTGGCTTATAGGTCCAATTTTTATTCTACTTATATATCTATAACGCAAATCAACGGAGAACCAGCTGAGGACATTAAAAAACACAATCTTCCTCTTTGGATACACCCAATACATTTCTTCCCAAGTGACACCGAAGAAGCCTGGAGGACAAAGAAGTACTACTGAAAAAAACGTCCTTACCATACTTTGAAAAAGAAAAGCTCCCCAAAAAGTCTACAATTCCAAAGAAGAGGAAACTATTCCTCATAATTTGTAAAATCAAAATAAGTTCTACCATATTCTGTCATATTTTATAACTCGCAACCTGAAGAACTGTGTAGCCACCAATAGGGTGTCCATAACTTCTGAGGCACAGGTGACCATTTGGAAAAGGTTTACAGACATTACATTACTAACAGGTTCAGTGTGCCATTGTGCAAAATTGCAATGAATGTGGGGCATTAATGCAGTCCCCAAAATCCATGTATTGTGAGTGTGTCACCTCTGATGATTTGTCCTGATTCTCACTAAATAAACCTGGACCTTTAGCATACCCTGGAAGTATCAAAAGGATGCAGATCTGACATGTGTACTCCAATGCCACATGGCTCTATCATCCAATTTGGTTTTGCAAATGACCAACCTAACCAGCTCTTCACCACCTGGATAACAGGGTGGTGTTCCACACTGTTGGAACTACTCTAGAGTCCACTCCCTAGCCTATCAAGCGCAGGCATTAATTATCATTTACCATGGGCAAATATGTCAAACATCTGCCCTATGTTTTCAAGACTTTATGGCCAGGTAGGAGAGTTTACATGTAAAAAAAAACTTGACCAGATGGCCTATATCCAGAAGACTATTCCAAGTGGTAAGACGAAAGAGAAATCACATCTTACAAGCAGCAGCAGAATCAATAAAAGATGTTTAACTGAGGAGTCAGAAAAGCAAGAGGATATGAACTACATGTTGATAAGTAAAAACACACACCACACACACAAACACATACCACACACACACACACACACACACACAAAACAAACAGTGGCAGATTTGTTCCATGATGCTTACAAGAAAATAATATTGGTGTCAGGTGTAAAGCAGTTTCTATTTTATTTATTTTTTGAGCGCGGAGTCTTGCTGTGTCACCCAGGCTTGGAGTGCAGTGGCTTGATCTCAGCCCACTGCAAGCTCTCTGCCTCCCCGGTTCACGCCCATTCCTCCTGCCTCAGTCCTCCTGAGTAGCTGGGACTACAGGCACCCCCACCATGCCGGCTAATTTTTTTGTATTTTTAGTAGAGACAGGGTTCAGTGTTAGCCGGGATGGTCTCGATCTCCTGACTCGTGATCCGTCCGTCTCGGCCTCCCAAAGTGGCTGGGATTACAGAGCATGGCCACCGCACCCCGGTCCTAGTAAAGCAGTTTTCTAACATCAGAGCTGCGAAGAGGTATCCTGTTACTTCTTTCTGCCTGCTTTCCTTGTCTTCTGCGACTTTCCCAGTTCATACCTTATGCTCCAAACCTAACTTTCCCCCAAATAGAACCCTTGCTCTCATACTTCCTTTGATTTCATTTTGCGTTCCTTTTGTACCAAATGCCTTTTTTTTTTTTTTTTTTTTTTTTGAGATCAGTTTCACTCTTGTTCCCAGCGTTGCAAGTGCAAATGGGTGCAATCTGGTCACGCAACCTCCGCCGCCTCCCGGGTTCAGCAATTCTCTTGCCTCAGCCTC